TAATATGATAAATATGCATTTGCATAAAAATCCGTAATCTATTTATAACATACGATCAAATCAGCAAAAGTTAAAATAACGAAGTAATGAATCATTAAATTCATTCTCGTGAAATGAAACTTTCACTGGGCACAGTTTTCTGTCATGAGCAGTTTTACAATTAACTGTTCTATTTAGTGTGTGATTTGATTAGGGTTCATTTGGTGCTAGCGAAACTGGACATCGTGCACTTTCTATGCCTTGGAGGACTATGGGGTCAAGTTCGGATCGGTCGTGCCTTGCCATGGGCACGTAAGGTCGAGCTTTGCATGGTTGACACGCTCAGAGACGATGTTTTAATCACGAAAGCATTCCGCGAAGTTGGTTTAAGCGCTACGTACTTACACGCGGCTGGAGTATATCGTATTCAAGAGCACGAGGTTGGAGAAGATGCGCCCAAGATAGAGATCGTAGTTTTTGAAGAAGATGCCGTGGTAAGTTTAATCATCGTAATTTTACTTCAAAGATTTTATTATCGAAATAGAGATAGAATATTTAGAAAAAGTAGTCCTACTACTTGAACTTTATACTTTGAAAATTATAATAATGTTTACAACTAGTTTTATTATTCGCAAATAATCTTATTTCGCATAAACCTTGAGATAAAAATGAGTCATATATACCTATCAGAAATTCGTATGTTAGTTACGACATTCCATTATGAGTTATAAAGTTGAAATGGCATGAAGATCTTCTATAATTTATGAGGTGTATTTTACATATTATACAACTAGGACAAATGAAAGTCATTGCTTGGCATCATTTTTGATAATAAAGCGATGAACTTTTCTTTTATTAATATTGTTCAGCTTTAGTACGACATTACATTTTAAAAGGTCATCTTGCAAAGGATAAGAATTTGGAATGCTAAAATCGAACATTTGCCATTTGAATATAAGATATGAAACAAAAATTAATATTTAAAAAACAAGAAATATATAGATATATATTAAAAAATTAAATATTTAATTTATTTGAAAGTTGGCTTTATATATTCAATAATTGAAATAACGAAATCCTTTCCTTTTTACAGACACAAATGTTAAGAAGAGTTGGTTGGACAAGAAGAGTGCTACCTCCAGATTGCGAATTTTCTCCTAGTCTACAATGTTTTCCACCTCAACTTGTAATTCCTCCTTTACCGGCTAAGCAATTTGGTGGTCGATTAATTCCTGTCCCTAGAGAAGGCATCGAATTGCAAAAATATCACTATCCCAACGATTGGTGGCTCGAGGTGAAACCAACCGATTGTACCGAACCCCAAGAAACGATTGCGTAGTACTACAATTTTCTAGACCCAATGTATTCGCAATGTAGCAACAAATCGATTTCGAACAGTCAGTAGAAAATATGCTCCAGAACTGCTAAAGAAAAAACAAAATAATGTATATCTTTCTTTCGTTTTATTACGAAATCTTTTTTATTTTTCATAGAAATAATTTTATTTCGTAAAGATATACAATTGCTAATGTATAATTCAAGTTTTCGAATCGAAATTATGATTTGCATTCGAAAATGTGAATTATATATATAATTTTTTCATTAAAAATAAGAAATAATGTATATTTGCAATGTGTTTTTTTGAATTTTTAAATTTAACGCATAGAAAAATTTTATTTTGAAGATATAAAGAATTTATCGAATTTAAAATTGATTCATAATGATTTAAGAATCATCAATGATTCACACGATGAATGATTAATCACAGTGAAAGTTTGCATTCCCTTTTTTAAAAACTTTCAGAAATCTTTGTCCTTTCATTCTATTATTATAAGATGGTTAATGAATGTAATTAATACATGGATAATAGATTTCGAGATCTTCTAGTCAAATAAAAGTCGCTTTGCTAAGAAACTATCATCAGCTGAGCTATGTGAAAAGTTCGGTGATCAAATATGAATATACTACGTGCTATATGAATACTAATATTTTATCATAAAGGAATGAAAAAAATTGTATTATTGTACGAATAAAATTTCGCACTGGGATTTTTTCTGGGATTTGCAAATGATTAGAAAAGTCGAGACTAAATATGTGAAATCAGGCAGAGAGAGAGAGAGAGAGAGAGAGAGAGAGAGAGAGAGAGAGAG